AAGTGTAAGACAAAGCCCTCTACAAAGGAGTCTATATGAGAATCTTCTTCCGTTTTTGTTTTAATTGTGGTAAAATATACAATGTAAAATTTGCCATCCTCACCATTTTTAAGTGTGTAGCTCAGTTTTGCTAAGTATATTCACATTGTTGTGCAACCAATCTCCAGAACCTTTTCATCTCGAAAAACTGAAACTCTATACCCATTAAACAACTAAACATTTCCCCTCCTCTAGCCCTGCCAACCATAATTCCATTCTTTGTTTGTGTGAATTTGATTTCTATAGATGCCTCATAAGTGGAATCATACAGTATTTATCTTTTTGTGATTGGTTTATTTCACTTAGCATTATGTCCTCAAGGTTCATCCATGTTGTAGCATGTGTCAGAATTTCCCTCCATTTTAAGACTGAATAATATTCCCTTGTGTATATGTGCCATATTTTGTTTATCCATTCAGAAAATCTATTTCTATATCAGTGGTATTGTTCTGTTGATCTGGTGGCACACCAGGTATTTAGCTCAATTTTTAATTATTGTGATTTTATACCAAGAGAAAAAGAGATGTGATTGTATATTTGCACTCTAGGAAAGGAAAAACAAATTAAAGCTGAAACTGAGCTCAGTTTCATCAAGAAGCATCTCACTATCCCTTTCTATCTCAAAAATAAAAGTTTTGTTCACTGTGTATTCCCAGATTCTGGAACACAGCTTGGCACATAACACTCAGTCAGTATTTGTGACAGATCATGAAGAGAAAATGCTATACCTATGATCTTGATCACTCCAGTTCATCTGAATATACTATTCAAGAAAGCACTAATGTGTATTGACATGGAAAAATCTCCAGGAACTACTGTTAAGTAAAACAAGTTATAAATCAATATATACAATATGATTCAATTTCTGTAAAAACACATGCAAGCCAGGCATGGTGTCATGTGCCTGTAATCCCAGATATTTGAGAGGTTGAGGTAGGAGGATCCTTTGAGCTCAGGAGTTCAAGACTAGTGTGGGCAACATAGTGAGATTCCATCTCAATAAAATTAAATTAAATTAAAATAAATAGACCGGGTGTAGTGGCTCATGCCTGTAATCCCAGCACTTTCGAAGGCCGAGGCAGGTGGATCACCTGAGGTTGGGAGTTCAAGACCATCCTGACCAACATGGAGAAACCCTGTCTCTACTAAAAGTACAAAATTAGCCGGGCATGGTGGCACATGCCTGTAATCCCAGCTACTCAGGAGGCTGAGGCAGGAGAATCGCTTGAACCTGGAAGGCAGAGTTTGCGGTGAGCCAAGATTGTGCCATTGCACTCCAGCCTGGGCAACAAGAGTGAAACTCCATCTCAAAAAATAAAGTAAGTAAATGAATAAAAGCACATGCACAAATCAAAATAATAATTACATATGTATGGCTGGGCGTGGTGGCTCACGCCTGTAATCCCAGCACTCTGGGAGGCCGAGGCGGGCGGATCACGAGGTCAGGAGATCTAGACTATCCTGGATAACAGGGTGAAACCCCATCTCTACTAAAAATACAAAAAATGAGCCAGGCATGGTGGTGGGTGCCTATAGTCCCAGCTATTTGGGAGGCTGAGGCAGGAGAATGGCATGAATCCAGGAGACAGAGATTGCAGTGAGCTGAGAGCGCGCCACTGCACTCCAGCCTGGACGACAGAGCAAGACTCCATCTCAAAAATAAATACATACATATATATATACATATGTATATAAAAGCACATCTAAATAATATGTTCCAAATCAACAGTTTGATTACCTCTGGGTGAGAGGGGGAGTGGTTGAGGGGTAGAAAGGGAACTTTCTATTTGTAGTATTTGAATTATTTACAACAAGAAATTATTTTTATATTGTTAGTGACAAAGCTTTTAAGGGAAAAACATCTGGACAATTATTTTCTGTGACACAGAATCAAGGAAAAAAATATATTCAATTCTGTTTACCTTACATGTACCTTTTCTTAGAAAGCTACTGGAGAATGTGCTCCATCAAAATGACAAAAGAAATCAAAAAAGACTAAGGTGTGGGATACAGGAAACAGGAGCCAGCATAACAGAGATGCAAAGTGAATCAATCCCCAAATGATGGTGAAAAGAGAGCCCAAGGTAATAGCTATACATCAAACATCAAGAGCAACCAGTGTGGACTGGCAAAGCAGGTAAGAAAGCTGTGCTAGAAATAAAATTGATTAAAATAACTGTTGCATTGGACATCTTGAGGGAAGATTTAGACAACTGGCAAAGAACTTGTGGTTCAATTGGTGAAAACTTTGCAAACACAGAGAGATAACTCTGGGAAAAAAAAAAAAAAAACAAGGAAGGAAGCTTTTAATAGCACGTAGGCAGGCATAATAATGTTGACCTAACTAAATATTGACCTAACCAAAAATTAGGAGATAACTATATTCAGAAGATCTATGGAAGGAACAGGTAGGATACATGTAAGTGATAGTGGCAAGAAAGCAGAAAAGAATTAAATCCACACATTTCATGCAGGAAAGCCAATGCATGATGACCAAACCTGAAAAACCAAGAAGGAGCAATTATAAGGAATATCTAGAGATACAGACTAATAGTAACTAGTTAAAAGAGATGAACATGATTATTTCTCTTAAAAAGCAGGAAATGATGGAGAGTTCTACTCTTTTTAGATATTAACCCTATGGAATCAATTGATTCTGAACAATGAGAACGTAAAACTTCAATAAAACTAAGAAGTAAAGAAAAAAAAGGCACTACTGAGAGTGACATCATAATATCTTACCTAACAGTGATGGATTTTACAGAAAATAGTTGCCATGTAGAATTCTGATGTGTCACAAAGAAACAACTGAGTTACAGGTAGGATGGTCACTTTCAGTTACAGCATGGTATGATTCTACCAGAAGTATAATGAAAATCACTCAGATTATTTGGGCTGTTTATACTGAAAACTCATGATTTAAAAACACAGTGAGGCCAGGCACGGTGGCTCCAGCCTGTAATCTTAGCACTTTGTGAGGCCAAAGAGGATTGCTTGAGCCCAGGAGTTCCAGACCAGACTGGGCACCACAGCGAGACCCTGTCTCAAAAAAATAAAATAAAAAGTGAGAAATTTGAAAAAGAAGGAAAAAGAGAGAAGCCATATTTCAGGCACAGTATTTACCAAATGCTTGATAGTTTTGGCATAGATGTGCTATCCAAAAAATTAGCTATGATAGAGAATTGTAAATAGGCAAGACCAAAATTTGTGGCAAATTTCAACATATTACACGATTCTTTCCCTTCTCCTCTGGTATAATCATCTCAAATGCTATTCATGCCCTTGTCTATCAAGACAAGTGTAATACCACCAAAGGGTACTGGTCTCCAGTTTTGGCTCAAAAAAACAAAACTCATGCGAACTCCTACCCTAGATGGTCACCACACCTGGTGGGAAACACAAGAAACAACCAGATTCTTAAAGTCAAGCCCAGATTCCAGTCTGACCAAAAGAGCTAATGCTTTATCAGTCCTATAAGAATCCAAAGCAGATGACAGTGAAACATCAAAATCTGTACACAGGGGGAAAGAAAGTGAATAACTCGTTTCCCACTTTAACAATTAAAGGTGATCATTTCTCCCTAGAACAAATAATCACAATGATGTGTATAACTAGAACGTCCATTTTCTCAGTGTCTTTTTTTTTTCTCTCTCTCTCTTTTTCTTTTTTACGTTCTCAGTGTCTTAAAGCATTGACCTGAGCTCAAATCTCAAATCTGTTTTTCTCCTTTGGCTTCATTTTCCTCACCTGTAAACCGGTGGGGATAGGAGAGAAAGGATACTTGGACTTTACAGGATTACTGTCAGGATGAAATAGTTAAGAATCCCAAACTCTTACAACCTGCTAAATACGTCAGGCATTATTCTAACTGCAAATGGCACATAGCATTTCATTTCATCTTGAAACTACAAATCGTATTATCCCATTTTCCAGGTGAGAAAGCCGAAGCACAGCTGTTAACTCGCCCAAGATCACAGGTAGTGATGCAGCTGGGATGCTAACTCAGGCTACCTATCTCCAGAGCATGTGCTCTTACCAGAGCAGGTTGAAATGAGCTAACGTTTGCTAAGCGGCCTGTACTATTCCTGAAATACAATGTGCTCAATGATACTTATTTTTCATACACAGTGTGAGAAAGTCCACACAAAATAGGCGAGACCGAGGAATGACCAGGATCTCCACTACTCTCCCAAGCGTTGCCAGCCCTCTCCCAGCGGCCAGGAGCACCCTCCCTCTCCAAGCCCCCAGAACTTCCTGTTGCGCCGCATGCCAGCAGTGGAGAGGAGCCAGCGCGGACTCCTGCGGTTGCAAGTCCGGGCGGCGCCGCGTTGGGGAAGGAAGCGGACTGCGGCGGGGCGGGCGTTTACCGTAACCGGCGCTGTCATCGCTCCGGGACTCCGGCACTGGGCGCACCGGGGCGCACGGGGGCGCACGGGGACGCGCAGGGGCGCGGAGGGACGGCGGTCTGGGCACTTCTCCAGCCGCCTCGGAAATCCGCGACCCCCAGCTCGTCAGCGTCCCAGTCTGCGATCCGTGCCCCTGGCTGCTCAGAAATGCGCCTTCTTTCCTCCGGGTTCTCAGCTCAAGCCACCTCCGAACTCCTCTCCCGCCGGCCCGAAGCGGAACCACAGAGCTGCCTCCTCTCCCGGGGTGTTTCCCACCACCCCAAGCTGAAGCCCCGACCCCCCGCTAGGTTTCCGCTCTGACACCACCTCCGCTAAGGCCGCATCCCAGCTCTTGAAACCGCGGCTGGGGACCTGCCCTGTGCCTTAGATAGGATAATCATCTTTGGGTGGAGACCAGAGAACTTGAACGCCGGTATTTCGTAAATCCTAGCTATTCTAGATCCTCGTTAGATGTAGTGTCCCTGGCCCCACCCACTTCTATCTAAGGCCGGGGGCGCAGATCTAGTGAATCACCTAAGGTCCTTGTTCCCCGCCAGTCCAGCAGCCTGAGCTTACCTGCAAGCGCTCCAAGACAGGTTGTTCTTTCATCTTTGATTTGCAGGCCCTGCTCCCAAAGCCCTGTCTGAGCTTTTAACTGTGGAGGCAGAAGCTCTGGGCTCCACCTCCACACGCTGCCTTTTACAGCTCAGTGGATTTGTCACAATACCTTTTGGCTTCAGTTACCTAACTGCCTAGAAAAGAAGGTGACTCCCACCTTCCTTCGATAAAAGAAGAATAATGAGGATCAAATGGAATGGCCACTGTCATCACAGACATCCTTCGTGGTAATGTATTGTTATTGTTGAGTCAGTGTGGGGCGTGAGGATATCAGAGATTTAACCTAACGCACTGCTTTTACTACCAGTGACTTATTGGGCATGTCAAGCCTCAGTTTATTTACCTATGCAATGGGAATAATAGGGACAAAAATCCAGTTCCCTCACAAGGTTACACTGAACAAAGGAAATCACTTAATGTGCTTCATGTAACATACAAATGTTTTCTTATTTCTGTTTTTTGTTTTTGTTGTTGTTGTTAATTCCTCTGGATAGGCAGTCTTTCTTTCTTTCTTTCTCTCATTCTCTCTTTCTTTCTTTCTTCCTTTTTTTAGAGACAGGGTCTTGCTCTGTCGCCCCGGAGTGCAGTGGCAGGATCATGGCTCACTGCATCCTTGAGCTCCCAGGCTCAAGTGATCCTTCCACTTCAGGCTCCAGAGAGTAGCTGGGACTACAGGCACACACCACAGTGCCTGGCTAATTTTATTTATTTATTTAAGAAATGGGGTCTCACGGTGTTGCCCAGGCTGGTCTCAAACTCCTGGACTCAAGCGATCTTCGTGCCTCAGCTTTCCAGAGTGCTAGGATTATAGGCATAAGCCACCATGCCTGGCCTAGGCAGTCTTGATTAAGGCTGTAGTCAGTGATTTGGGGTGGATCCCAGTGTGTTGGCAGAGGTGGCACAAAGCACACAGGCAAAATGATGCTCACATTATTACAAGTGTAATTAACAATGCTAGTCATTCATCCCTGACAACCGACTTAAAATTAGGGACACCTACTCATTTAGTTTATTATGAATTTTTGCCTGGTGAACTCACACTTGCAGACAGTTTACAGGTTTTTTCCCCTCATTTCTCAATGTGGTTTTAATGAGCATTTCTTTGTTTATTAGAAAATTGTAATCTCTCATATGCATATTGGCATTTTTTGTTGTTTTTCTTTTTGTTGTTATTGCTGTCGTTATTGAGCCAGGGTCTCGCTCTGTCACCCAGGCTGGAATGCAGTGGCACTATGTTGGCTCACTGCAACCTCCGCCTCCTGGGCTCAAGCAGTGCTCCAGCCTCAGCTCCTACAAGTAGCTGGGACTACAGATGCAAGCCACTACACCTGGCTAATTTTTGTAATTTTTGTAGATACAGGGTTTCACCATGTTGTCCAGGCTGGTCTCGAACTTCTGAACTCAAGCAATCGACCCACTTCAGCCTCCCTAAGTGCTGGGATTACAGGCCATGGCCATTTGTTGTTCTTCTAGAAACACATTTAATCTCCTTTCCTCTCCTTAACCCATCTCCTTTAAAGAGTTAATCTGTAAACAGTTAACGGGTTCTGAAAGCTCTTCTAAGGTAAGTAAATCCTTCTCGATCTATGTCTTCCATACAATTTCTTTGTTAGGTCTCTAACAGGGCCAGGGTCAGGGAGTTCTCAGAAATCTGCAGACACACCAAGAAGACTAGACATTTGGAACCCAAGATTCTTGAGAAGTCTACCATCTTCTAGTTTACCATCTTTGGTAAATCTACATGTTACGATGATCATTTATTCTTTTCAGATCAAGCTTCAAGGCATTTACTGCGTGAAATACAAGGGCAATTCGAAGTGCTTAAGACCTTGGATGTGCTAGTTTACAAGCTGCCTTTGGTTCCCAAGCTGTATTAGAAACATCTCAGGCATTTGTCAAAAGTGCAGATTCCCAGGCTCCAACCACCCTACCCAGCTCTCTTGTATCAGGATCTAGGGTGGGGCCCAGGAATCTGTATCTTTCACAAGCACTTTAATCGATTGTCAAACTTGTATATAAAACTCTTCTCGTCCGGGCATGGTGGCTCATGCCTGTAATCCCAGCATTTAGGGAGGCCGAGGCAGGAGAATCACTTGAACTCATGATTTCAAGACCAGCCTGGGCAACATGGCAAAACCCCATCTCTACAAAAAAATACAAAAATTATCCAGGCATGGTGGCTCACACTTGTGGTCCCAGCTACTTGGATGGCTGAGGTGAGAGGATTGCTTGAGGAGGTCGGGGCTGCAGTGAGCTAGGATGGCACCACTGCACTCCAGACTGGGCAACAGAGTAAGACCATATCTCAAAAAATAAATAAATAAAATTAAAATTATTCTGGGCACAAACACACCTATGCCCAGGGTAGCTGTGAAAATTAAATTTTAAAATATTCATTAGTAGTCTAGTGTGGTTTGATTCAGGCCAGCAAATATTTCCTGAACATAGACTGTTTGTCAGGCATCATGCTGGGCACCAGGAAAACAACGATGAATAAGGCATTGTCCAGTCCACAAGGAGCTCAAGTTTATAAGAGGAAGATGAACAATCAAAAATGAAACTGGGAAGAGGCGGAGCAAGAAGGTGGAATAGAAGGCCCCGGTCATCCCCTTTGCAGGAACACCAAATTCAGTTAACTATGTACACACAAAAAAAGCACCTTTCTAAGAACCAAAAATCAGGTGAGCACTCACAGTACCTGGTTTTAACTTCGTATCACTGGAAGAGTCACTGAAGAGGTAGGAAAGACAGTCTTTTTTATTTGTAACTTTTATCTTAGGTTCAGGGGTACACTGCAGGTTTGTTTTATAGGTAAAGTCATGTCATGGGGGTTTATTGTACAGATTATTTTGTCATCCAGGTACTAAGCCTAGTACCCAACAGTACTTTTTTATATCTCCAAATCAACAGTTTGAGTACCTCTGGGTCAGAGGTGTCAATAGTTATTTTTTCTGATCCTCTCCCTCATCCCACCTTCCACTCTCAAGGCGGCCCTAGTGTCTGTTCTTCCCTCTTTGTGTCCATGTGTTCTCATCATTTAGCTCACAGTGAGCTTGTAAGTGAGGACATGCAGTATTTGGCTTTCTGTTCCTGCATTTGCTAAGGATAATGGCCTCCAGCTCCATCCATTTCTTGCAAAATATATGATCTTGTTCTTTTTTATGGCTGCATAGTATTCCATGGTGTATATGTACCACATTTTTTTAATCCAATCTGCCATTGATGAGATTTAGGTTGATTCTATGTCTTTGCTCTTGCGAATAATGCTGGAGTGAACATGCATGTGCATGTGTCTTTATGGTACAACAATTTATGTTTCTTTGAGTATATACCCAGTAATGGGATTACTGGTTTAGTGGTTGTTCTGTTTTTAGCTCTTTGAGGAACCACCACACTGCTTTCCACAATGGTTGAACTAATTTACACTCCCACCAACAGTCTATAAGAGGAAAGACAGTATTGAATTGCGGATGCCACCCCTTCCCCACCCATCCACAGCAGCCACTTGGCATGGAGAAATCTGTGTGATTGGGAGAGGGAGAAAGCAGTGGTTGTGAGGCTTTGCATTGAACTCAGTGCTGCCTTGTCACAGCAGAAAGCAAAACCAGGCTGAACTCAGCCAACGCCTGCCCACTGAGAGAACATTTAGACCAGCTCTAGATAGAGAGGAATCATCCATCCGAGCAGTCAGAACTCACGTTCCAGCAAGCCTCGCCACACCACAGACTGGAGTGCTCTGAGGCTCCAAATATTCGTGAAAGGCAGTTTAGGCCTCAGGAACTGTAAATCCTACTGCTGAGCTGGGCTCAGCAACCAAGTGGACCTGGGGGGTGTGTCACCTACTGAGACACAAGGTAAGACAGCTAAGGGGGTGCTTGCGCCACCCCTCCCCCAACCCCAGGCAACACAGCTCGTGCCAAAAGAGACCTCCTTCTTCCACTTGAGGAGAGGAGAAGGAAGAGTAAAGAGGGCTTTGTCTTGCACCTTGGATACCAGCTCAAACGCAGTAAGACAGGGCACCGGTCAGAGTCATGAGGCCCCCATTCCAGGCCGGCCCTAGGTCCCAGATGACATTTCCAGGCACACCCTGGGCCAGAAAGGAACCCACTCCCTTGAAAGGAGGGACCCAGTCCTGGCAAGAACCGTCACTTGCTGGCTAAAGAATCTTTAGGTCCTGAGTAACCAGCAGTGATACCCAGGCAGTAAGCCATGGGCCTTAGGGGAGACTCTGAGAGGTGCTGGTTTCAGGTGAGATCCAGCACATTCCCACCTGTGTTGACTACAGTGACAGACTCCGTCTACTTGAGAAAAGCAGAGGGAAAAGTAAAGGGACTTTGTCTTGCACCTTAGGTACCAGCTAGCCACAGTAGGATAGAGCACCAGGCAGGCTCTTGGGGTCCCTAATTCCAGACCTTGGCTCTTGGACAGCATTTTGGGACCAGCCCTGGCCTGGAGGAGAGCCTACTGCCCCGAAGCATGAGTCCCAGGCCTGGCAGCATTCACCACAAGTTGACTTCAGAGACCTTGGGCCGTAAGTGAACACCAGCAGTAACCTGGCAATACTCCTGATGGGCCTGTGGCGGTGGTGGCCATGGGATGAAGCTCCTCTGCCTGTGGCAAGGTGAAGGAAGAATGAGAAGGACTGTGTCTCGTGGTTTGAGGCCCAGCTCAGCCACAGTAGCATAGAACACCAGGTAAACTTCTAAGGTTTTCAACTCTAGTCTCTAGCTGCCAGACAGCATCTCTGGACGCACCCAAGGCCTGGGGGAATTCACCACCCTGAAAGGAAGGACACAACCCTGGCTGGCTTCACCACCTGCTGATTGTACAGCCCCAGGACCATGAGTAAACGTAAGCCGTAGCCAGGTAGTGGTTACAGTGGGCCTTGGGCAAGACCTAGTGCTGTGCTGGCTTCAGGTCTGACCCAGAGCAGTCCCAGTGGTGGTGGCCACAGGGGTGCTTACATCACCCCACCCCGAGCTCCAGGTAGCTCAGCACAGAGATAGAGAGACTCCCTCTGTTTGGGAGAAAGTAAGGGAAGGTAACAGGAGACTCTGCCTGGTAATCCAGAGAATTCTTCTAGATCTTATCCAAGATTGCCAAGGCAGTAATGTTAGGAGTCTGCAAGAACTATAGCATTACTGGGCTTTGGGTGCCCCCTAATGCAAATACAGCTTAGATTATAACACCCAAATCCTTCTGAATATCTGGAAAGCCTCCCCAATGACA